TCTCCCTGTTGTGGCCTCTCCCATTGTGGAGCACAGGCTCCGGACGCGCAGGCTCAGCGGCCATGGCTCACGGGCCCAGCCGCTCCGCGGCCTGTGGGATCTTCCCAGACCGGGGCACGAACCCATGTTCCCTGCATCGGCAGGTGGACTCTCAACCACTGCGCCACCAGGGAAGCCCCATAAGTATATTTTAAGAAATGTAATCTAAAGGCAGCTCTCCACCAACCCAGTTCTATAATTTTATGGCTTCATTTGCACTTAATCACGAATTCACCCACCTTGCACTCAGTGAGCCACTACAGTTACACGAATGCTAATAACAATAACAACTAATGTTTATGGAGGACTTTTTGTGCTAGGAACTGTCCTGAAGGCTGTGCATACATTATCTAGTTTTGTTCATACTACGGGAGACCCATATTATCACATTCACGTATATCAAACTCTAATTTACCTTCTGTGGCTGGCCCAAGGCCAAAAGCCCGGAACTCCTGAGCTATGGCTACTTGCCTCCTGCTTCCAGCCACGTTGTCTTTTCTTTTTTTTTTTTTTTTTGCGGTACGCGGGCCTCTCACTGCTGTGGCCTCTCCCGTTGCAGAGCACAGGCTCCGGATGCGCAGGCTCAGCGGCCATGGCTAACGGGCCCAGCCGCTCCGCGGCATGTGGGATCCTCCTGGACCAGGGCACGAACCCGCGTCCACTGCATCGGCAGGCGGACTCTCAGGCACTGCACCACCAGGGAAGCCCCTCGTTCTCTTTTCTTACCTCTCTGCACCCTCCTTTCCAGAAGAGCCACGAGGGCTCCTCCCCCTCCCTCTTGCTACTTTGTTTTGGAAACCATGGCGACCAACGATTTTCCCGCTTCTATCCTGGCAAATGGGCGGGCACTAGGTTAGATGACCCAGTACGTAACCCCGGAAGTGACTGACTAGTAACAGTGCGGGGAGACAGAAACGTGCTGAGCGAGGGGCGGAGCCAGAGAGCTGACGCACGCCCTCCTATAGGCTTCGTAGCTCCTCGACTGGGCGGAGCTTTACCAGTCAGCCCGGGCAGAGTAGCGACCGTCGCGCAAGCACGCGCTCTCATTCTCTCAGCCTCTGACGGGGAAAGTTAGCTTTTGGGAGCGGAGAGGGTACGCAGTCACCCCGCAATGTCTGGTGAGTTAGGTCAGCCGCAGGAAGGCCCGTCGCATTCTGGGCTCTATATGCCGAACCCTGAGGGAAATGAGGCTGAGGTCCAGAAAAGTGTGAACCAAAGGGTCGGTGCCCCAAGGCGCAGGTCCTGGATCCAAAACGTTCTTGAGCAAATAACGGACTCACCTCGCCAGTGTAGCACCCCGTCGGAGGTGGTGCCTGTCGCTGTTTTGGCCGTCCAGAGGTACCTGTTAGAGGGTGAGCCACGCGACATGGAACCTAAACCTCCGCTTTATTGCTATGATGTGACGATCTCGGACGGGGTGTTCCGTGAGAAGTGCTACCTGGACCCCAGCCTGAATTTTCTCGTATATAAAAATATTCTCAAAGTTGGCATAGAAGTGAAAATTTCCAGAGTCTCGTGTATTTACAACGAGAAAAGATTAGGCCAGGGGATCCTGTGCATAGATAACGTCCACTGTGGGGAGTCCCTGGACTCTATTTCTTTAGAAATTCCCTTCAGAAATAGAGCGCACCGGGAAATCCCGGAGAGGCCGTTAAGAGGCGGAAAGAGCCATTACCTGGCCCTGTGGAATAACGAAGATCCATATGGAGATATCTGGTTAAGCAACAAGCAACCTGAAGAGCACAATTTTAACAGTAAGTAATTGGAGGGAACGACGGAGGGGTTAAGGTTTTCGGGAGCTTGCTTTAATGGGAAAGGAAACGAAGGTGCTTTGGTATTGTTAATTATAAGCCAGGAGTGGTAAGAGACAAGCTTTGATGGGTGACGGGGTTCCAGCTCGCGTCTTGCTTTGATTGTAAAAGTGGCCATTCAGGAAGTGTCCGAATACATCTTAAATTTAATCTGACGAACGTAGTGATGTTGCAGTCAGTATTCCTCATGTGTTCGTTATACATTTGACTACAGTGGAATTCATCCTAGTTTTAGTCCCATTCCAGTCGTGGAAATAGTACTTTCTGTGTTGGTTGGAAAGTGTATAGATTTGAATTCGGCATAAGGGTTGTAAATATTTGTGGTTTTCCCTGTTTTAACTTTCGTTCAAAAAAGGATGTTCCGTGATTTATTCCTTAATAATTCACATTTAATGAAACGACATTTTCTATACCTTTTAGTGTGGCAGTTATGTAAACGTTGTTTTTTGAATGTGTGATTTTGTGGGAAGGCTTGGAATTCTCATTTTTATGTTTCTTATTACTTACCACGAACAATACTAACCTGAAAAGTTCAGTTCTTCTGTTTCAGAAGTAGGAAGTTAACCTGATAATGCTAGCTCGTCCGTCATCAGCAAATGCTCTAAAATATATTTTTATCTGTAAGAGATGGAATAAGGGGAATGATAGTACTACAGTGAGAGGCCCGCGTACCACGCACACACACAAAAAAGTGTAAGACCCAAGTACAGTAAAGTGTTGATGACAAAATATAGAATTGGGTATATTGGTGTTCTTCTCAGGTTTGCTGTATGTTTGAAATTTTTAATAATAAAATGGGTGGAGTAAGAGACCCTTTTTGCCTTCTTGTATGCCTTCAACTTTCCTCTTAAAATGGGGAAAAATGAATTATATTACATTTCATGATTTGTTATTTCCACTTCTCTCAAACATCTTTAACGTACATCTTTTTATACACTTTTCCATAGTATGGATATACCATGATTTATATAACCATGCCCACATTAATGGGTAATTTATAATTTTAGGCAGTTATTGGTTTTTCAGTTTTAGATCCAGTGCTGAGCATCATTAGGATATACCTGTATTTGTTCACTATATGCAAGTATTTCTGTTGAGTGGTTGGCTTCCTAGAACTGAAATTGCTGGGTTAAAGAGTATTTGACTTTTTTAATTAAATGGATATTGACAAGGCAGCTTCTTAAAAGGTTGTGCTAATTTACATTACCACTAACATATATAAGACAGTGCCCAATTCCCTGTACTATTATTTTTAATTATATGTTTTGATTTTTTCTAATTAATTTGTAGGATTTCTTTGCTAATGGGTATTAAGTTTTGTCTGCCGTATTTTGCAAATTATTTTCTCCCACTCCGTTCCTCTTAGTTTTGTGGTGCGATTTTGTGCTTTTAAAACTTTTCTATTAGGTGTAGTGTGTACACAGTAAAATAGAAGAGTCTTAAAAATACAGCTATCTATATATATCTGTATCTATATCTATATATATCTGTATCTATATCTATATATATATCTGTGTAACCACCCTCCTAGATCAAGATATAGAGCATTTCAAGAACCCCAAAAGGCTCCCTCTTCTCGTTCAATACCCTATTCTAAAGGTACCAATACGATCTCAGAGGCAGCGGTTTAAAAGGGAAGTTGGGGGAATTCCCTGGCGGTCCTAGTTAGGATTCCGCACTTCCAGTGCTGGTGGCCAGGGTTCGATCCTTAGTGGGCGAACTAAGATCCCACAAGCCGAGGGCGCGGCCAAAAAAGTAAAATAAAATAAAAAGGAAGTTAGACTGTGCCATTCTCCTGCCTAAATCATTCCAGTAGCTCCGCACTGCAAGAAAATCTAGACCTCCTAGCCAGGTGCACGTGGCCCTACGGCGGTTGGAGAACTGTCTGTTAAAAGCCAGATAGTAAATCTTTTTGTCTTTGCGAGACCTATGGTCTCTGCTGTAGCTATTAAACTTTGCCATTGTTTATGGAAAGCAGCCACAGAAAATATGTAATTACATGGGTTTGGTTGTGTTAAAACTAGAACTTTATTAACAAAACCGGGCAGCAGCCTGGATTTGGCCTGAGGGCTGCAGTTTGCGGAGACCTGCCCTACAAGGTGCCATTACGCGCCGCTCTAACCGCTCTCCTCCGCCATTTTGTTTTGGCCACGCCAGCCGCCTTTTAAATCTTTAAACCTCCAAGCTCTGTCCTGCCCTCAGGTACTTTGCTCCTGCTTTTTCCTCTTTCTGGAAAGTTCCTTCCCATCCTCAGGTTTCAACTCAGATATATAAAATATATTAGAAAAGGGCTCTCTAAAATATACATTCCTTCCGCATTTATTGTTATTACATCACCGTGCAAATGCCTTTCATAGAATTGGTAACACACTGAAATTATTTTCTTTTCTTTCTCCTCCCACTAGTTTGTAAGATCCAGTAGGGCAAGTGTGACGAAAGAAATGGAAGAACAGCTTCAGGGCTAACTGCACATTTTGGCTTCTGTAAGAAACTTGCTTGCTTGGGGCAGGAAGAACCGGGTTCCTGATTGGCTGATTCAAAATTAAACAGCTCCCTCCCGCCTTGGGGACTTCCCGCCCTGTGAAGGGTATACAAGCCTCGCCCAACTGTTAGTCGGGGTCTCACTCACTTCTATCCGAGTGGGACCCTGTCCGGACAGTTTGTGTAAGCTTCTATACTTGTACTTGTATAAATCCTTTGCTAATCTTTCTACTTGGTGTTGGTGATTCTCGGGTGTCCTTGGTTGGAACACGGGTCGCATTTACTGGGGAACTTGACTCCAGGCGTGTGGCTCCCGGACCGCAACACAAACACTCTTTTTTTTTTTTTTCCTCACTGCTGTGGGCTGTTTCTCCAATACCCAGAACAATGTCTGGAACATAGTAGGCATCCAATACAGGTTCATTGAATAAAGGAATGAATGAAATAAATTACATTCCTGGATTTTCTAATGTTGAACCACTTTTGTTTCTACTTAGTCATGCTTGTTATTGTTATATCTGTATATTCAAGTGAATTTGGTCCATAAGTTTTGTTATTTTTTAGGAGAATACTATTTCAGTTCGATTTTGATATCAGGTTAATTAATATTAGCCTAGTACGATGAGTTACTTGTTTTTCTGTACTTAGCAGAAATCATGTGTTCATTGAAAATTTGGTAGCATTTACCCCTAAAACGATTTGAACCTGGGACCTTGGGCCGGGATTGGGAATTGGGAGAATGATTCCTTTTCAGTTTTTTGAAAAAGTGGTAAAACCAATAATGCTTTTAGTGCATTAAAAGCATTAAAAAAGCATTCCCTGGTGGGCTTCCCCACCAGGGAAGCCCAGTAGTCTACATTTTTAAATCTCTGTCTTGTCAGTTACATCCCCTGATGCATTCCTAATGTTTGTGTCTTCACCCTTTTTTATGGTCAGCCTTGCCAGAGGTTTGTCCACTTTCTTGGTATTGAAAACTAACAAAAGACTTTTAGGGCTTCGCCTGGTGGCGCAGTGGTTGGGAGTCCTCCTGCCGAGGCAGGGGACACAGGTCCGTGTCCCGGACCGGGAAGATCCCACATGCCGCAGAGCGGCTGGGCCCGTGAGCCATGGCCACTGAGCCTGCGCGTCCAGAGCCTGTGCTCCACAACGGAAGAGGCCACAACAGTGAGAGGCCCGCGTACCACAAGTCTGTATCGGGGAGATGTTCCTACTTTATTTTTGCTGTCCTCTTTAATTCTTTTTACTTCCTTTGTTCTTTTTTTGGCAGCGGGGGGAGGGGTTCTACCTTGAGTTCAATGCTTGGTTCATTTATTTCCTTGTTTATTTCTTCCAAAAGCTTTTAACAGTTCTGAAATTTCCCATGAGTACTGCTTTGGCTGTATCCCCCAGGTTTTGAAGTATAGAAATTTCATTATTACTCCTTACTCATATCTTCTGATTTTAAATTTGAGTTCCTCTTTACCCCCAAAAGGTTAGAAAAAGCTTACTTATTAGACATGAAGTTACTTATTATATGAAGTTTTTAAATTAAAGTATTCCATATCCTTATTTTAAAATCTATTTTATTTACCCATTTCTTTGAGAGGAATATTGGCTTCTCTTTATGTTGGTGGTTTTGTTTATTTCTCAACATCTAAGTTTTCGATTTATATGTTGCTGTAATGTGTAAAGTTTCATAGCTTGTTAATATCTTGGTCGATTTTACTCTATCAATATAGAATTTATCTCTTAGTCCCCCTTTTTTTTGGCCACACAGCACTGCATAGGGCATCTTAGTTCCCCCACCAGGAATGGAACTTGTGCCCCCTGCCGTGGAAGCACAGAGTTTAGCCACTGGACCCCCAGGGAAGTCCCTCTTAGTCCCTTTTTGCCTTGAATTATATTTTGTATATTTTGATAGTACTGTTTACCACTTCCACTGTCTTTTAGTTAGCATTTAGGGCAGTGATTTTCAAACATGACTGGGCATCCATATTGCCTCAAAAGTGTTTTAAAATTCAGATTGCTGCACCCCATCACCAGTTTCTGATTCAGTACATCTGCACTAGAGTTTACATTTCTTTTTTCTTTTTTTTTTTTTTTTTTTTGCGGTACGCAGGCCTCTCACTGTTGTGGCCTCTCCCATTGCAGAGCACAGGCTCTGGATGCGCGGGCTCAGCGGCCATGGCTCACGGGCCCAGCCGCTCCGCGGCATGTGGGATCCTCCCGGACCAGGGCACGAACCCGTGTCCCCCGCATCGGCAGGCAGACTCTCAACTACTGCCCCACCAGGGAAGCCCTAGAGTTTACATTTCTAACACATTGATGCTGCTGGTGCAAAGGCCACACTTTGATAACCACTAGCCTAGTGTATGTATCTTTGTTCATCACTTTATTTCAGGTTTCTTTCTATAGCCAAGATTTTGCTTTTTGACCCAAATCATTTCTTTTTCTTTCAAGAGATGAATTTAATCCAATTAAATTTAATGTAATTAATGATTACACCTGTTCTTGCAGTCCTACTTTGTTTACTATATGCCATGCTTTAATTATTTTTACTATTTTTTTTTGCTTTCACAGGATTAAAATTTTTTTTCTTCTAGTGCTTTAGAAGTAATATATTATATTTTTATTCTCTTTAGTGTTTTAACAAAATCATTTGAACTTACATTTTATGTCAATCTCCAGAATTATTTAGAATTTATAATATTCTCCTCCTGAACAAGACAAGAGGTTTAGGACTCTACTTGATCATGATGTAATTTGGCATACTGCTACATTGGATTTGAAAGTATTTGATTTAGGATTTTTGCCATCATAAATATTTTGGGTTTATAGTTTTCTCTTTTGTACTATTTCTGTCATAATTTTTCAGGATTTATCTAAGTTTATAAAATGAATTGTTATAATTTCTACATTTTATTGTGCTCTAGAACAACTTATAGTTAAGAGAAAGAGCTATTCTTTGAAAATTATTAAAACGAAAATTGTTAAAAACCATATAAACCTGGTGCAATTTTGGGAGGTCATTATTTGTGAACTTTTTCATTCTCTTGCATGGTTATTGACCTGTTCCAGTGTTCTTCTGTTCCTTAGGGCAACAATATTGGTAATTCATATTTTTCTAGAAGATTATCTATTTCACTGATATTTTCACATTTAGTGATATATAATTATATATAGTAATCTTTAAGATGATTTTCTCTATGTTTATAGTTGATCACATTCCAAACATTATTTTTTTTGTTTGCTTTCTTCATGGTTGCACTTATTAAAGTTTTACCTTTTTATTAATTTTTCCAGGGAATTGGATTTGCCTGTTATACTGTTTTCTAATTCATTAGTTTCAGTTTTTAATCTTTATTCCTTTCTGTATTCCTTAGATTTATTCTTTTGCAGTGGTTTTCACTGTACGGTCCAAGGACCCCTAGGTGTTTCCCCAAGATCTTTTCAGGGGATTTTCAATGTTAAAAGTATTTTCATAATAATAATATTAAGGCTTTATTTACCTTTTTTTACTCTCATTCTCTCAGAAGTATAGAGTGGAGTTTTCCAGAGGGTACATGTCATGTGATATTGAAACAGACTGAATAAATGCCAAAGAAAATATGATTTATCCAGTTGTCTTCTACTAAGATAGACACTGAAGAGATTTGCAAAAATGTAAAACAATGCCACTCTTTTCACTAAAAATGATTGATTGGTTTTGAAAATATAGTCATTTTTCAAAAATATACCTTTTTATTATACATTAACAGGTTTATTATTGTTGTTTTAAAGGAATTAATGAATATTTTAATTTCTTAGTTTTACTTTATAATATGGTAAATATGATAAATATTTCCCACATAAACAAAAGCTTTTTGAGGTCTTCAGTAATTTTTAAGACTATAAAGCGTTCCTGGGACCACAAAGTTTGAGAAACACTATTGTATTGCTTACTAACTTTTTATATTGAATATGTAGTTTATTATTATTTTCATTCTTTTGATAATGAACCCACTTATTTCTATGAATTTACACAGATTCCTCATTGTCTATGTATAACCTGTAATGTTAACCAAGCACCTGTCTGATCATGGCTAACTGTCTGGACTCAATTGTAGCAGAAACAGTGGCTCTTACAACTGTGGTTTTATAAAACCATGTAGCTCTTGAATTTATTCCGGCTGGTAAAGGTGGTGTATGTGCCTTCATTGATGAAGAGTGTTCCACATACCTTCTAGATAATTCAGAGGTGATCTACAATTTGTTTGACCATATTTAAAAGGAAATCACTTAATTACATCACATCAAATATTAGGATCTGTGGGCTTCTCTGGTGGCGCAGTGGTTTAGAGTCCACCTGCCAATGCAGGGGACGCGGGTTCGTGCCCCGGTCCGGGAAGATCCCACATGCCGCGGAGCGGCTGGGCCCGTGAGCCATGGCCACTGAGCCTGCGCGTCCGGAGCCTGTACTCTGCAACGGGAGAGGCCACAACAGTGAGAGGCCCACGTACCGCAAAAAAAACAAAAAACAAAAACAAAACAAAACAAAATATTAGGATCTGTGATCCTGAGCTAGCAATGTATTGGGAGAATCTGGAGGGAAATTTACACAAGATATCCTAATACTGAAAATAGTGTGGCGGGGGCAGTGTTAATGGTACAGTTGTAGTTATAAAAGGCCATTTAAACTTTTATTGAAAAGAAATTACAAGAATGGTTTTCATGCCAAAGTTGAGTAGGTGATACATTATATAAATAAAAATGGAAGTGGAGGATGGCTTAAAGAAATAAATATTGGAAAAAATACAAATACACATTTTAAAAGTTGGAACTGTGGGCTATGAGAGAGCAAAATTGCAGATGGAACCCCTCTTAACCAAGGAAGAATAAAATTAGAAATACAAGTTAATCTTTTAAAGATGGTGAATAGCTTTTAAGCAGTTTTGGCACTTGCTAGCAGGCTTGGAGATTAAAACATTTCAAAGTAAATTATATGGCATATGAGAAGGTAATATGTGCAATGTAGAAAAATAAAATGGGATGGAAGATAAGTAAGGGGATCAGTTTTCTGTAGGGTGGTTATGGCTAACATCACTGAGAAAGTGACCTTTGAGCAAAACTTGAAGGAGAAGAGAAAGTCACTCGGGTATCTAAGAGGAAGACATTCCAGACCCAGGGAACAGCAAGTGCAAAGGCCCTGTTACAGGACCATGTCTGGAATGTTTGGGAAAGTTCGAACTTATACATATGAGACTAAGGTGAGGGCAGTAAAGAAATATATCATGAAACAATTCTATAAGTTAAATATATAAGTGCCATGGAAAATATTCCATGGCATTGAGTTTTTTGTTAAGGGAGGTAAGTTTCGATCCAAGTCTTCCAGGAAGTAATTACACAGTTTGATGAGGTAAAGGGCATTCCAGATGGAACATTCCATCTAGATGTGTTAGTTAACATAGGTGTTTACCTATATTCTAGTCACATAGTAAGTCATATATATTTTTTAGCTATTATTATTAGGGATAATATTTATTACTAAGTTTTATATGTGAGAAGTACACAGACTGGTTTAGCTGGTGAGGAGTCGCTTTGGGTATGATCTGGCTACCATTTTTAACCAATAAAATAGAATTTTGAAATTACCATGACATATTTAGTAGGATTTTTTTTCTTTTTTGTATTCTAGATACCAGAATAATTTCCCTTTCTCACCTTGAAATGACCTGGTCTAACATAAGGAATTTTCCTGCATTGCTTGTGAGAATCTTGCATAAATCAAAACTGCGATACTATGGAAAACCCAATAAAAAGATTATTGAGCCATACCAGGTATAAGTAGTGATAAGATATTATATGTTAATTTAGCACTCATAAATTATAACTTACAGACCTGACTCTTTATTAGGATAATTGATGTTTAAATAACATATTTTAAAGTTCAACTTAATAATTTTAAAAATGAACAAGCATATATTTCAAGATATTTTTCTATGGAGTTTCTTATAGAAAAAGAAATTCTTTCTGTATTAGCGCCCTTTAGTTCCCTTGATCCAGCTGGTCTCCTTCACACCTTTTTCTGTATCTTCAACTTCTTCTTCGTTACTGTGCTTTCTACACCAGCATATAAATATAGTCTAGTCTTCCATTTTAAAAAAGGAAAAAAATCTCCTTTGACATCAGGACTCCTGTATTCCCTCTGTCCTTCTCTTCAGGCAAGCTCCTTGAAGAAGTAGCCTACACTATATGTTTTCACTTTCTTGCCTCCCTTTTACTTCTCAACACAATTAGTTTGACTTTTTGCTTCAGCTGGTAACTCACCAGAGACCTTCTAATTGTCCAATCTATCTGACACTTTTCTGTTATCTTGATACTCTATGCCATATGGTGCTGATTTCTGTCCTGTGTTTTCTTTTAAACTTAACATTTTACTGTATTTCCACATGTTATCAAGAATTATTTTAGGTGCTTTATTAAGCTTTTATAGTAAAAGTTATACATATTTACAGGGAATTTGGAAAATGTATAAAGATATATTAAGCTGATAAATAATATCAAGCCAAATCTTACCACTCAGAGAGAACCACTGTTAATATTAAAGTGTATTTTATTCCCCTTTTTTATATGTGTATATCATATATATACACATATCTGTGATATCATATGTATGTCATAGATAGCACATCTATGCATATATGTATGCCTATCATATATTACATATAACTATGGCATATATCATAGTAAGTTATCTTACAAAATGGGAATCATATTGTATATAAAATTTTGTATCATTTAACATTTTCTTAAGTATTTTCTCATATTACTAAAAATTCTTCATTTATAACTTTTCATCATTACAGAGTCTCTCATATCATAAATTATTCAGTGATTCTTCTATGGTTTTGCTTCCTCATTCTTAAAATAAAATTTGAACACCCTGTAGATTAAAGTAACAAATATGCATGTGCTTTTACTCTTTTTTTCCTAGACTTTTTTGGAAGTTGCTGACAGTTCAGGCACCGTGTCAGTGATTATGTGGAATGCCCTGTGTCCTGAGTGGTATAAAAGTTTGCACGTTGGTTTAGTTCTTCTGCTTCAAGATTATTCTATTAAAAAGAGTCACCCCTTCAGGATGCAGCCTCTCCCTGTGGATCCACAGATCAAACTAATTTCTACAATGGGTTAAGTATTCAATGAATTTGTTATTTTATCACTATTTTGTTTGTATAAATTTGCAAAGTACCATATCAGTCAAAAGCCCTTAAAAATTACTGAAGCTGTTAGAACCTGACAGACTTTAAGTTCTTTTGTCCATAAAAATTTTTGAGCAATCACTTAATAAATATATTTATTATTGCATTTTTTAAGAAAAATCATCTGAGATATATATTGTTGATTAATGAGTGAGTGCCACTTGGGATGTACTTATTTTTCTTTCATTTTTTTGTATTAAAATATTAAATTAATGACTTGATAATTTTTTGTTACTACGAGGTGCTATTTGAAAAGGCTTTTGTCAAAATTTTATTTTGAAATAATTTCAAACTTACATAAAAGTTGAAAGGATAGTATGAAGAACTCCCGTATACCTTTCACACAGATTCAACAATTGGTAACATTTACCTTTGCTTTATCATTCCTCATCTACATATATATACACACATACACACACACACATATGTATTTATCACCTCTGAACCGTTTGACAGTGGCAGCCATCATACATACCCCTTTACCTCTAAACATTTCAGTAATATTTCACTCTATATTTCCTAAGAACGAGAACATTCTATTACATAATCACAGTATAGTTATCAAAATCAGGAAATTTAAAATTGATATAATACTATTATCTAACCTATGGTCAATATTCAAATGTTGCCAATTGCTACAATCTTGAAAGGGATCTTCCTGATTAGTATTGAAATCACAGTATTGACATCTTGGCATCATCCTAAGTATTTTGGGAGCATTAGAATTGATATAGTAAGTGATTGCTTTAAGATGTGGATGTGATTTTTTTTGCATTTCCCTTTTTCAAAATTGTAGGACACATCATTCAACAATTTTAAGCATTGTTTTTGGCTTGTCATAGTTTTATACTGGACCTTTATTTCTGTGTATTCTGAACTCCCTAGCTGACCCATTAAGCTTAATTATGTAAAGAATGTTCAAATAATGTAGCCTTTGTTCACTGTTTACTGAAATATATATTTAGGAAAATCTCATATGATTCTCTATTAAAATCTTAAGCATTTGGTAGACATCAGTCTTGCTGGATGAACAGGTCATTACTTAGATAGTTTGGTACAACCAGTCCATAATCTCATTACTCTTTATTACAGGAGAAATTAAACTCATATTGCTATTGAGACTTAATTAAGAAAATGTAGTAAAAGTTGGCGAGAGGAAGCTAATTCAAAATGTGTATTATTGTGTCTGCCAATTTATAAATTCTTTCCCACAACAAAGCATCTCCAGGTGACAAAATTGCTTTAGTAAAAATTGAGACATGCTTTGTCAATAACAGATAAAGTAAGTAACTTTGTTGATGTCACATAATAAATCACTGGCATAGTGAAAATTGAAACTTAGTTTTCCTGATACCTAATCTAGTGTTCTTTTTACTAAATACAGTGTTTTCTGGTGTAAAGAAAATTAATTTCTATCACAGTTTTTATGTGTCTGTGGACAAATCTAGAAATGTGTCTGTACTAATAGCTGCTTCTAAACCTTAAAAACATATGGAAAGTGGGACAAATGACAGCATGTGACAAGTAGATACAGCCATTAGAACGTAGCAGTGAAACTGATTGAGCTGTATGCTACCTCTGCTACATAGAATTATAGGGCCAGATTTTCATAATGGAAACTCTCTTTTTAGGATATGAGAAGCTATTTACATTTTCAAGTGAATAATTGCAAATATAGAAATCGTTTTTAAAGTGAGAGCCTTGATGAAAATATATTGAAAATGTGCCTTTTAGCCTTTACAACAGTCTTACTTACTAGTGTTAGCATCAGTCTGTTATTCCATACCTTTTTGATAAATAATAGGACTTTTTCCTCTTTATCAGGGATCAGCAAACTATTTCTATAAGAATCAGACAGCGAGTACTATAAGCTGTGCAGGCAGTATAGTCTTCTTCACAACAACTCAGCTCTACCTTTATAGAGTGAAAGCAGCCAGAGATAATATGTAAACGAATGGGCTTGGCTGTGTTACCGTAAAACTCTATTTGCAAAACACAGGCATCCATCTACAGGCCATAGTTTGCCAAGTCTATTTGTATAAGTAGATGTCAATACTGGCTGTACATTAGTATCACTTGGGGAGCTTTAAAGAATCATGAGCATCCCACCCTCAGAGATTCTGAATTAATTACTCTGAGGAGGGGACCAAGACATTGGTGTGTCTCTAAAACTCCTCAGGTGATTCTAATGTACAGCCAGGGTTGAAAACTATTGATATATAATCTTTTAAAACCTCAGTATGATTAATGATCTTTTGAAGGGAAAAAAAGTTTTGTAAACCATGCTAGACACAAGGGACACAAAGATAAGTAATATAGAATTCTCCCCTTAAAATTAGTCTAACAAGGTAACATATGTAAAATGAACAAATTACAGTAAAATGAAAGACTGCTGACAGTAAACAGTAAGAAAAAAGAATGAATGGAAGGGGAGAGGAAATGAACGGAAATTGAGGAAAGAATGAATGGTCTGGAGAGTGGGTGAATGGGTTGAATTGGAGAAAGTATAAGTGAGGGTTAGGAATAATAGCAGGGTAGTTTAAATGTTATGAGAGGAAAAATGAGAAAGCGTATGTAGTTGGGGCCAGTTTGGTCAGTTTAGGAATAAAGATCTGTGATAGCATCACTGCCTTCTAGGTGTCGATGTTGGAAGACAAATTATTGGGGTAATTTAGCTTGGTTTATTTTTTCATACTTACACATATAGTTCCAAGTTATACAAACCAAGATGCAATTTTTTAGAAAACTAAAAAAATGAAGCTTATAAAGATGAAAATTCTATTGCAAAAAAAAGGACATATTATTTGCTGGTAATGTATGCTTTGTATATTGCCATTTTGTATATCATTCTGTCCTTGTATACAAAATAGTATTCAGTTGGCATACACAAATAATAAACCTTTTAAAGTCTTGAGGTTTTCAGACTGTATGGCATAATACATATTGAGATAATAGCATCAAGTGTTTTTGGTTTGGGGCAAAGGAGGTTTTTGATTCAAAATCCTAGCATTTTAGAGCTGGGGGCGATCTGGAATATAACTGAGTAACTATGGCTATGAAAGTGCTTTGTAAAATGCAAACCATTTTCTAGGTGCAAGGTGTAATACAAACCTTCCTCACTCGTATATGAAAAGGTAAAAGTGAATTTTCTAGTCACATGGATGGTAATAGGCAAAAAAAGAAAGCAATTATTTTCATCCTGGTTTAATCTTTGTTTGCTACATAGCAAATTCTTAGAAAAATATTACTCGCATTAAAGAAATAGAAAGCCCAGATAGTTCTATAACTGTTAAAGAAATTGAACCAGAGGTTTAAAATCATCTCACAAAGAAAATACCAGGCAGGTACCATTTTACAGGCAAATTCTAGCAAACATTGAAGGAATGTACCATTCCAAAACTATTCCAGATAATAGAATAAGAGGGCATACTCTGTAACTCATTCTTTGCTACCAGTGTAACTTTGATAATCAAAACCGAACAAGAATATTATGAATGAGGAAAATGAAAGACTAGCTTCTGCTATGAACATATGTACAGATATTCAAAATTGAAGATTAGCAAACTGAATTAAGTTATATGTGGAAAATGATCACATGCTGTGACTAAGTTGCATTGTTCTCCAGCAATGTGAAGTTGTTTTTACATATGAAAATCTATAAGTGTCACTCACTACACAGATTAAAGAAGGTCATCCTAATAGAGGCACAAAACACATTTGCTAAAATTTTACACACATATATAAATTTTAAAAAGAAAATAGTGAGAAAAGGAACCTTCTATAACTGATAAAGGATGTTTGCAAAATCAAAACATAACAACAAACACAACTTTTTTAAAATAAATTTTTAAATTTTATGATTTTATTTTATTTATTTATTTATTTTGGCCGTGTTTGGTCTTCATTGCTGTGCGCATGCTTTTTCTCTGATTGCGGCAAGTGGGGGCTACTCTTCATTGGGTGCACAGGCTTCTCACCACGGTGACTTCTCTTGTTGCAGCGCACGGGCTCTAGGCGCATAGGCTTCAGTAGTTGTGGCACGTGGGCTCAGTAGTTGTGGCTTATGGGCTCTAGAGTGCAGGCTCAGTAGTTGTGGCACACGGGCTTAGTTGCTCCACAGCATGTGATATCTTCCAGGACCAGGGCTTGAACCTGTGTCCCCTGCATTGGCAGGCAGATTCTTAACCACTGCACCACCAGGGAAGCCCAACAAACACAACTTTTAATGGGGAAAATTTAGAAACCCTCCTTTTTTAAATGGGGAACATTGATGGCCTCCTACTACTATTTCTGTTTAATGTTGTACGGGCTCTCCTAGCCAATGTGAGAAGATAAAATCCATTAAAAGCATAAGAATTTTTTATTGAAATATAGTTGACATAGTGCTCTACAATACTATGTTAGTTTCAGGTGTCCTACATAGTGATTTGACATTTGCATACATTATGAAATGATCACCATGATAAGTCTAGTAACCATCTGTCCCCAAAGAAAGTTATTATAATGTTATTGACCATATTTCCTTTATTGTATATTACATTCCATTGGCTTACTTGTTTTATAACTGGAGGTTTGTACCTCTTAATTCCCATCACCTATATCATCCCCCCTCCCCTGGCAACAGCTGGTTTATTGTGTATCTGTGAGTCTGTTTTTCATTTTGTTTGTTTGATTGTTTTGTTTTTAAGATTCCACATATAAGTGAGACCATATGGTATTTATCTTTCTCTGTCTGACTTATTTCACTTAGCATAATACCCTCTAGATCCATCCATGTTGTCGCAAAGGCAAGATTTCATTATTTTTAATGGCTGGGTAATATTCCATTGTATGTATATATAGACTACATCGTCTTTATCTATTCATCTATCAATGGACACTTAGGTTGCTTCCATATCTCGGCTATTGTAAATGACACTTCAGTGAACATTGGTGTGCATATACCTTTTCGAATTAGTGTTTTTGTTTTCCTCAGGTAAATACCCAAAAGTGAAATTTCTGGATCATATGGTAGTTCTGTTTTTAATTTTTTGAGGAACCTCCATATTGTTTTCCATAGTGGCTGCATCAATTTATAATCCCACCAGTAGTGCACAGGGTTCCCTTTCCTCTACATCCTCTCCAACATTTGTTATTTGTTGTCTTCTTTGATGATGGCCATTCTGACAGGTGTGAGGTGGTAGCTCATTGTAGTTTTAATTTGCATTTCCCTAATGATTAGTGATGTTGTGCATCTTTTCATGTGTCTGTTGGCTATCTGTGTGTCTTCTGTGGAAAAAATATCTATTCAGGTCCTCTGCCCATTTTTTAATTTGGTTATTCTTTTTCTTTGATGTTTGTTGGAGTTCTTTATCTATTTTGGATATTAACCCCTTGTTGGATTATCATTTACAAATCTCTTCTCCCATTCAGTGAACTGTCTTTTCATTTTGTTGATAGCTTCCTTTGGTGTGCTAAAGTTTGATGTGGTCCCATTTATTTTTGCTTTTGTTTCCCTTGCCTGAGGAGACAGATCCAAAAATATATGCTAAGACCAACGTCAAGGAGCATACTGTCTCTGTTTTCTTTTAGAAGTTTTATGGTTTCAGGTCTTACATTTAAGTCTTTAATCCATTTTGAGTTTATTTTTGTATATGGTGTGAGAAAGTAGTCCAGTTTGATTCTTTTGCATATAGCTGTCCAGTTTTCCCAACATCATTTATTGAAGAGGCTATTTTTCCCCATTGTATATTCTTGCCTCCTTTGTCATAGATTAATTGACCATATAAGCATGGGTCACCAGGGCTATATGCTCTAGGAGTGCCCCCTCTGTGGGTTGTGTGGGCCCTCCTGTTGTAGTTGACTACTCTGGGCATGCTGGTAGGCGGGGCAGCCCCGGGGGGGGGTGTTCAGTGGGGCCGTGGCTTGTGCCATCCTGCTGGTAGTTGGGACTGGGTCACTACAGGACTGGCTGCTTGGTGTCAGGGGTGTCCCAGGACCCGGGCTGCTCAGCTAGTGGGTGGGTAGGCCCCTGGAGCTAATAGGCTAGAGGAAGGACTCCAAATTAGCATTTGTTAACACCAGTGTCCTCCTGGTAGGAGTTCCCCAAAATGACTGCCACTAGCATCTGTGTCCCCAAGAGAGTCCCAGTTGCCTCCTGCCTTTCTAGGAGGTTCTTCAGAATTAGCAAGTGGGTCTGACCCAGTCTCATTTAAAACTACTACCTACCTCTGTGTTGGAACTCAGAGTATGTGACATTTTGCATGTGCCCTTAAGAGTGGAATCTCTTGTTTCCTGTAGTCCTCTGGCTGTCCTGCACATAAGCCCTGCTGCTTTTCAAAGCCAGATGTCTGGGGGCTCATCTTCCCAGCGCAGGACCCCCAGGCTGGGAAGCCCAGTGTGGGGGGCTCAGATGCCTTGTTCTTGGGGAGGACCTCTGTGGTTATGATTATCCTTCCTATTAGTGGGTCACCGACCTGAGGGGGGTGCTTCCTGACTATATCACATCTCCACCCCTCCTACCTGACTCATTGTGGCTTCTTCTTTATGTCTTTATCTGTGGAAAATCTTTTCTGCTAGTCTTCAGGTCATTCTGTTAGGTAGTTTCTCTGTAAGTTGTACTTTTGGTGTGTCCACGAGAGGAGGTAAGTTCAGGGTCTTCCTACTCCACCATCTTGGCCACCCACCAAAGGCATAAGAATTTTAAAGAAAAACACAAAACTGTCATTATTCACAAATTAGATCTTCTACAAAGAAAATCCAAAATAACACAAAGTATTAAAAAAATAAGAAACCACAACGTGGTATCGCCTCACACTGGTCAGAATGGCTATCATCAAAAAGTCTACAGATAATAAATGCTTGGAGAGGGTGTGGAGAAAAGGGAACCTTCCTGCACTGTTGGTGGGAATGTAAATTGGTGCAGCCATTATAGAGAACAGTATGGAGGTTCCTTAAAAATCTAAAAATAGTTAACCATATGATCCTGTAATCCCACTCCTGGGCATCTATCTGGAAAAGACAAGAACTCTAATTCAAAAAGATACATGCACCCCAGTGTTCATATCACCACTATTTACAATAAGCAAGACATGGAAACAAGTACCCATCAACAGATGATTGGCTTAGATGTGGTATATATATATATCAATACAATGGAATATTACTCAGCCATAAAAAAGAATGAAATATTGCCTTTTGCAGCAACATGGATGGACCTAGAGAATATTATACTTAGTGAAGTAAGACAGAGAAAGACAAATATTATATGATACCACTTATATGTAGAATCTAAAAAGTAATACAAATGAATCTATTTACAAAACAGAGACATATTTACAGACATAGAAAGCAAACTATGGTTACCAAAGTGGAAGGGAAGGGGGGAAGGATAAATTAGGAAAAAGGGATTAACAGATACAAACTACTATACATAAAGTAGATAAGCAACAAGGATTTACTGTATAGCACAAGGAACTGTATTCAGTATCTTATAATAACCTATAATGGAAAATCTGAAATATATATATAAATATATATTTAGAAATATATTTATAAATTAACATATGTATATATACTTTATATATATATAAATAAAGCTGAACCACTTTGCTGTATACCTGAAACTAACACAATATTGTAAATCAACTATACTTCAATAAAATTGAAAAAAATAGGGAATTCCCTGTCAGTCCAGTGGTTAGGACTACGCACTCTCACTGCCAAGGGCCCAGATTCAATCCCTGGTCGGGGAACTAAGTAAGATCCCACAAGCTGCATGGTGTGCCCCCCCAAAAAAAAAACAGAGAGAAAAAAATAAGATACTGGCAAAGCTAGCTGTAACAGCAATATACCAAAGTCAGTTGATTTTGTACACTCCAGTAACAAAGAGTTAGAAATTATAATTTTAAAAACACAATTTACCTTGTCAAAAATAACTATAAAGTATCTAGAAATAAATCTAACAGAAGATATGTAAGACCTATTTGGAGAATATTTTAATACTTTTTGAAAGACACTAAAGAGTCCCTAAACAAATGGAGAAATATCCCATGTTCCCAGGCAGGAGGTTAGTCTCAGTTTCATAAGTATATCAAGTCCCCCCAAATTGATCTATAAATTTAGTGCTATTCCATCAGATTATTTTTTCTGGAACTGACAAACTGATTCTAAAATTTATATGGAAGCACATAATTATCAAGAATAGTTAAGACACCTCTGAAGAAAAAGAATAAGGGGCTGACGAGGGAATGAGGACTTGTCCTACAAATATCAAGAATTATTATAAAGTATAACCGTGTAGTATTGGTATAGATATAGACAAACTGACTAGCAAGTCATAATACAAAGTCAAGAAACAGCCCTAGACGTATAAAATTTTGATATACAACAGATGTGCTGTGTAGATCATCAAGGAAGGAAGAGCCATTCAGTAAATAGTATTGAGACAATTGATTATATATGAGAAAAAAATGACATTATATCCCTAACTCATACCATATAAAAATAAATTTCAGGTATATCAAATACTTAAATGTGAAAGGCGAAACTTTTAGAAGAACTTATAGAAAGTATCTGTTTGACTTTGGGATAAGGAAGGATTTTTTGGATAGGACACAGAAATGGTAGCCATAAAAGAAAGATTAATAAACCTAACTACATTAAAATTAAGAAATTTTGTTCATGAAGAGACAGCCCCCCAAAATGAAAAAACAATCCAAAAACTGGGTGAAGGTATTTGCAATGGTATAATAAACAAGGGATTAGTATTCAACATATATAGAAAGAAGTAATGCAAATAAATAAGAGAAAGACAATCCAGTAGAAAAATGGGCAAAAATATGAACAGGTATTTCACAGAAGACGATGCATGAATGAACCATAGGTTTATGAAATGTTGTTGAACATAATTAGTAATAAGGGAAGTGCAAAATAAAACCACAGCAAATTGTCATTTTCTGTCATTAGACTGACAAAAACTAAGAAATTTAGGGATTTCCCTGGCGGTCCAGTGGTTAAGACTATGCACTTCCACTGTAGGGGACACAGGTTCGATCCCTGGTCAGGAAACTAAGATTCCACATGCCACATAGTGAGGCCAAAAAAAAAAAAATTTTTAACAGTACCAAAATTTGGAGAGGATGTGGCTCAGTGGGAATTCTTGCACATCACTGCTGGAACTGTTAATAGTTTAAATAAATATTTAATATTCAGTAAATATTTATTAATAAATAAATAATAAATACTACTTTAGGATAGTTTGAAATTATCTTATAGGATGGAACATTTGCATATTTTACAATCCAGGGTTTCCCTCCTGGATATAATAACTTAGAAAGCTTTTGCCTGTGTGTACAAGGAGATATGTAGAAAAAGCTCACAGTGACCATGTTTGTAACAACAAAAGCTGGAAATAATCCAGATGTCCAGCAATACGATAAAGAGTAAATAAAATTTTAGTATATCAACACTCTGGAACATTATTCAGCAGTAGAAATGAGAAAAAAATTGCTACATGCAGCTACATGGATGAATTTTAGGACCATAAAGTTAAGTGAAAAAAGTAGCCCTAGAATACTGCATTATGGTAAAATTCCATTCATTTAAAGTTCAAAAACAAAGAAATTCAAATAGTATACTCTTTGGGCAAGAACACATAAGTGATAAAAAAAAAAACTCTTTTTTAAATTAAGTATATGATGAAACACAAAATTTAAGGTATGGTTAACCTTTAGTTGGCAAGATAAGTGGATGTGATAATGTCGGAATAGGTAGAAGAAAGCTATTGATAATGATCTAGTTGTTAGGTTTAGTGGTGGGCTCAAAAGTGTTCAATCTATTTTTTGCTGTGTGATTTATATGCATATATTATTTTATATGTATTAAATATCATACTAAAGTAATATATTTGTTTTTCAGAAATCTGCCTGAACCTTCGAAATCCTCCAACTAATATAATTATCATTCCAGAAAAGCAGGTGAAACCAGAATGGAGATTGCCAAAATTAAACCACCGTTTTATCACAAGGTAAAATAGCTTCTTGTAAAATATCTCAAATATTAATTTTTAATGTTAGTTACTGAAACAATGTATTGTAATTTGCTCGGAATCTACCCAAAATTATGCTGTAGCAATTAGATAGATGTGCATTTTCACAGTCATATTTGCAGAATGCTTTTTCACTGTTTAAAAATACAGTATCGATTTAATAATTTTGCTTTTTTTAGATCCGAACTGGATGATATGCCAGAAAATAGTATCTGTGATGTTATTGGCATTTTAGTTTTTGTAGGAAGAGTCCAGCGGTCAAAAAAGAAGGGTAAGCTTTTGATATTGAAAGTCATAAAAAGTATTTCAGTGAATAATTCTGTGTTCATATGTGCATAATCAGTTACCTTCATTTATTCTAACATTCTATCCATATAGAAAGCCGTGAAGATTTTTGGTCATATCGCTGGATTCACATTGCTGATGGGACTTCCAAACAACCATTTATAGTGGAACTGTTTTCTACATCTCAGCCAGAAGTCTTTGAAAATATTTACCCAAGTACTCAGTTTCAATATTTTTATCATTTTATTTTTGAAAGTGGGGGCATTAACTTAAAAAAATGATAGAGGTATACTGACTTACTTACAGAATGCCATGATATTGAGTTAGCAAATTCAAGCAGTCTGATAGCATGTTTAAGGTTTTTCTATATTAATATTATAATTGGTATTAACAGATATTAACCACCTTCTGTGGTTTTATATTCAGAATTAATTAGGGATTGAAACTAGTTTTTCAGAAAACAGGTGCTCTTATCAATTCCCATTTTTAGCATTTTAGACATAAAAACTTAAAATTCGGTGAAACTAAAACATAGATAGTCCGTTTTCTTTGTATCCATTTGGAAATTGACTTAGTAGACCCCATTAAACACAGTGAAGGCTTTACTAATGTAGAATTAAGTAGTAGAGGATTGGGATACTGTGTAATTAAATAATGGCAGTGGTAAGTATGATGTCATTTGAGTATGGAATTAATATTAGGTTGGTGGTGTTAAACCAGCTGGTCAATATTTTACTTAATTTGGTGTTGATTTTTTCCACTACTTTTATTTATTTGAAGACATTTTAAGTATGTCCTATTATGTGTTTTATATAACAAGTTAGTCTTCAGATCTACTATGATAAGGATAAAAGTATATCTAATACTTTTTAACAACTTCAGTGAATTTTTCCTTGTTTGAATTTGTAACATAAAGCTATTTTAGGTATTGGTATGCTATTTTCCTATTTCCCAAATGATTATGTGAATAAAATACTGATTATTAAGTGCTTGCCAACCTTGGAGAAATTCCCAATCTTGACTACATGTATTTTTTTTAATGAGCAACAAGATAGAAATTGTAGAATATCAGGAGACCTAGAGACCATATACAGGGCTGTTCTGCTACCCCTTTATTTTCTGTTGTAAAACAGTATTACACACCATTCGGATATTACCTCATTAGAATCCACCCTCTGCTTGTGAGATTAAATTTTTTAAATATATATGAGTAGAACTGAACATCACCCCAAATGTTACTGGAGGAGAGGGCAGAAAGAGAGTTTTGGCCAAAACCAAGGCATGGGCTTCCAAGGTAAGTGGGGCCATGACCTTTCATATAACTTCTCTCAGGTCACAGATGATTGGTAGTGATGATCCCTGATAACAATTTAGATGGGCTTTAGGGCCAGGTCCCTCTCTCTTTGTAGCCACTTTAAACAACAAACTGACACAGGTTTTGGATAACGATTTTTCACAGAAATGTTGCCATCCATGCACATTCTATTTCTTGTGAAAATGTGAAATATATCTTTTAAGAAAGGTTTGTATGGACCTTGATGAGATTTACTCTAGTACAATAGTTGACAACAGTCACAATTCATTTTTATCTTTTGACCAAGAGTGAAGGAAAAAAATCATAAAATAAATGGTGAGTATTAAGGGGGCTTCAGGCCTATAAAGGGGAACATGACCAAGGGTCTTCTGGAATAATACCAGAATCGTTTAGTAGTAGGGCATCTTGTTTACTTTTGACTAAGAAAAGTGAAGAACTAAGGGGAAGTAATTTTGAGCGTTTACTATATACCAGTTGCTCATAGATATTATCTCATTTTGTACTCCCAGTTACCTTTTTAAAAGGTGATGTTTTTACAAATTTACGGGTGAGGAAACAAAGGTCCAGAGGGTTGTCAAACAGCCAGAAGGTCCAAATATCTGATTTTTAACAACCATGAAATTAGAATTAGAAGTATTCTTATATCAACGTCTTTAATCATGAATACTCACATCTTTGTACAGTTTTTGAATTAAAGGAAAATGATATAAATCAAGAGAATTATTCTTGGTCATTTGAACAGATTTTCTTTATTTTCATTGCTACAAAATAAAGAACTAGTAAATGTGAGATACAGGAAACGAATTTATAGATATTATCATGCTCTAGGGAAATATTTATTCTCAAATGAGAGCTTACAGTTGATATGAAATTACGAGCATTTATAAGGTGCGGCCATTGTACTTTCTAAAGGAAAAGTTAAGTGTTAGATCCTTTATTTAAAGGAAATGATTAAGTGTTATGTTAGATCTTTGTTGCTCCAAGTGTGGTCAAAGGACTGGCAGCACTAGTATCACCCAGGAGCTCATTAGCGGTGGAAAATCTCAGGCCCTACACTAAAACTACTTTAATCTGAATATGCATTTTAACAATTGTCCTAGGTGATTCCTCAGTTCATTAAACTTTGAGAAGCACTCTGTTAGATCCTGATCTTGGCATTCCCATTTGAAATGCAGAAATAATTTCTTAAGTGTTTTCATTTTCTACAGTGGCACATTTCACATGTACACAGTTGAAAGTTGTCAGAAATGACACTCAAGTACCTGAACTGCTTTACCTTACTACTACAAATGAGAGTCGCATGTTTATTACTGGTGAGCAAGTTCTTTGTATATACTTTATTGGAAATCTAATGTATTTTCTCTTCATTAAATTAACTTTTCTATTATAAGATTCAACCACAAGATAGCTTTATTTTGAACTCCTTTCTCACCATAAGAATGGTTTAAGAAAGAATATTTAGCCTATGAAATCTATTGCTTCCAGATTATTTACAGTTAGAGCAATGATTTTGTGACCTACTGAAGAATTTTGTTTATGTCCTTTGGTTAACTTTAATTCCTGCTTGACATAAGAAGTTAGATAACCATAAATTGCTTCATAGATTGTAGACTGTTGGGCCCTGTATCACAATATGGATTCAATTAACAACAGTTTTTAAATATTAAATAAAACAAAAATGTGCATTCAATTTTGGTCCCCAGATCTCGCATTTTACTTATATAGCAAGAAAAGTCTCACTACTTATCTACAAATATACTATTTTTCTCTATTCCCTTGGATAAGGTGGGCAAAATAATAAAGATAAAAGTTTTCAGATGAGTGAGGGAGTACTATGGAATGATGTATTTACTAGAATGCTACCATGTTGGTAATTAGGAAATTTGTCAAAAGAAGAGTCCTAGGGCTTCCCTGTTGGCGCAGTGGTTGAGAGTCCGCCTGCCGATGCAGGGGACACGGGTTTGTGCCCCGGTCTGGGGGGATCCCACGTGCCGCGGAGCGGCTGGGCCCGTGAGTGGCTGGGCCCGTGGGCCATGGCCACTGAGCCTGCGCGTCCGGAGCCTGTTGCTCCGCAACGGGAGAGGCCACAGCAGTGAGAGGCCCACGTATCTCAAAAAAAAAAAAAAAAAAGAAGAGTCCTAGGAAGGATGCAACACACATCTTTGTCCATACCTCATTTTATAAATATGGATACTATCAGATCTAATATATACTAATAATAACAGATGTGAATGACACTTTTAAGTATGTTTCAAAGACATGAACTTAAATGCTGAGCTATATTCATAGGCAATTTAGTTAATACATGATGTCATACCTTCAGGTTAAAACATAATCAATTTTCTAAGAAGATGCTAACCAGTTGGATAGTTAGCAAAAGCCAGACTATTAGTTTTCTTTTTCTTCTGGCTTTTTGGTGTCCTGTAGACAGTTACAGTTTAGTCCATGTAAACTAATATGTCTGATTTCCTTATTGACTTAGGATTTGTTAACTGATAATTTTCATATGCATATTCAGTATAATTATCTGCTACATAGTGAATAAGTTAACTTCTTTACTTGGTGCTATAAGAATGATTTTATATTAAACTGTTTTTATACCCAAAAAAGTCCAGGTGGTTTATTACAGTGACATGTCTTTTTTTTTTTTATTCCTCATATTTTTGCACTTTATCCTTCCTGCAAGAAGGTCATAGAGGCCAGCCGTATACTGATGATACCAAGGTAAAAAACTTTATTCAGTGGATTAAAACAAAGACCGATTCTGGGGAATTGAAGAACACTGTTATTGGTGGATATTACCCCTATCCACCAGTGCCAGAAACATTTTCGAAGTATAATATTTCTGTTAAAGGTACTGATGTAATTGCTAGTCCCTTATATGTTTATATGTGATATGTATGGTATATGCCATATCAGTTAGTCATCTTTAATGGGAGTGAGCCAAAGTGTAGCAACACTCACTGGTAATAATTTGATCTTTATCAAGATCTAAAAACATATGTCATGACCCATAAAGGTTAATATTTTGATTTTATTAGACTGTAAGAAAAGAAGGAGTTTAAATAGACTATGACTAAATGGGGGTAATATCTTGATTTAAGGTCATTGAGATCAAACCTGAGTTGGTAGATCCCAACTCCTATAACACTACTTAGACTAAAGATATCAGAGGAGACACTGGACAATTTGATACAAAGGTACTGACAACTGTATTAGGCCACTCCTATGGAATGAGATATAGACATCCCTTGGTGTCCGCAGGGCATTGGTTCAAGGAGCCCCCATGGATACCAAAGTCTGCAGATGCTCGAGTCCCTTATAAAAAATGGCTCAGTACAATGAATACAGTAGGCCCTTTATATCTGCAGGTTTGCAAAACCTGTGGATATGGAGGGCCAACTGTGTATTGGATATAACACAATTGAGCTCTACCTTTAAATAAAAATGATACCAAAATCAGTGAGATTCAGAATAAGTATTAATGAGAGGCCTAACATTATTTTAGTAGAATTAAGATATGACAGTTGAAAACTTTAACATAAGTATATTATTTTTGAAAAGCTATGGAATAATGCATGGTTTTGGAAAAAAGAGAAACTTTGAAATACTGATCTATCATCATCTAAATATTGACACCCTCCTGTACTTCATAATGCCAGCAATATGTAGTATATGCTGTAAATAGCATATAGAATACAGAAAATATTAAACAAAATGTGTGTTTCTATGCAGTGGCTAGGCAACACTTTATAGTTTGCAGTATGATATATAAATTACATTCAATATGTAAAATTTCTGTTTCAGATTAAGACGCCAGACTAGAAGGCTGTATCACAATTTAACTGACAAATGTGTTTTGCCAATTTTACCGAAATTACATAAGTGGTTGCCAAATATAAACACAAAGTCTCACATATTTAAGTTATGTAGCAAGTTTATAATTTTTATGTTGTGAAATTACATTGCAAATCTAATTGTTATTTTTGTCATTTCAGTTCTTTAAAACTTACAGTTTCCTTGAAATTACTCTTTTGCAGTTGAGTTGTTCTTCACAGCTCTAAGTGAAGTGAGGAAGGAGATTGAAGACTTGCAGTATAGGGAACAAAAACGCATTGCAATTCAGGGGATAATTACTGTTATAAAGTATGTCCCCTATAGCGGTGCAACTGAAAGTGCCTCAGCATCTGAAACACTACGGGTATGGTGCCAGAGAATTAATAGTATATCTCTGAAAGCACTGTGTTTATAATCACAACTGGTATCTTGTAAATTTCATTCAGAACTTACAGGTATTAACTCTTAATATGTAAACCTAAAAGGAAAAAAATGATTTTTAGTTTGTTTCCTTTTTATGTCATTTATTTTGGAGCAGTCTGGGCTGCCCTCAAAACTTGGTATCTTGTTTTTGTTTTCTGTGTAATATGAGCCTATCATGATTGTCTTTATTTAAATTTCCAGGTGGTATATATGATTATGATATTTTCCTTCCTTTTGTCTAGGCCAAAGGTATAGGCACACTCCCACCAGAAGTTTTTAGCTCTATTGTCAGTCTTGACAGTTCTACCCAGGTTCTATAAGAGGTAGCAATGACTCTTGTAGGATAAATGCTACAGAAGAGGCCACTTCTAGAATCTAGGCAAAATCAAGACAAATAAGTTAATTTTTTCCATGAGCTTATCTTTTTAAAAGTTATTTCTAAGATTACTGTTCTTATACAAATAAGCATCTAATCCAACTTTACAGTTATATTAATGTAAGAAGGACTTTGATTAAAATATTTTAATAGCAGATGGATTAAGATAAATCAACTTAATAAAAGCATTGTTATGATTGCAAAGTTTTGTCACAACTCTTAAGTTATGAAAAACGGGTAAACTAAAATTATAGAGTCTTTTAAGAGAGAAATAATTTTTGTGAATCAGTTTTAAACGTTTTCTTCAAATTTTTGGTTTTAGAATGCTAACCGACCCTCAACATCCCAAGCAGCTAGAAGAGATAGTCAAAGTCAAGAAAGAGATGGAAAACCTCGAGATAATGGTCCTGTGAGTTCTCAGTGTTGTCATACTACATCTGCAAGTTTGAGCCCTCCCAAGAAAAAAAGAGCTCTACAAGGGCCATGTGCCAAACAGTAAGTCATTTGTATTAAGTATATACATGGCATATACTTTTGAATTTGTTTCTATCATGTAAAATGAGCAATTCTACTAGAAGTTGTATTAATTTTCTAGGGCTGCCAAAGTCCAAGACCAAGATATAGGCAGGGTGGGTTCCCTCTGAGGGCTATGAGGAAGAATCTGTTCCATGCATTTCCCCTAGCTTCTAGTGGTTTAGTGGCAATCTTTAGCATTCCTTGGCTTATGGAAGTATCACCCTAATCTCTGCCTTCATCTTCACATGGCATTCTCCCTGTGTGTGTACATGTCCAAATTTTTCTTTAAGGACACCAGCCATACTGGATTAGGGACCCACTCTGGAGTACTGGTCTACTTTAGTATGAACTCATCTAAACCAATTACAACCAAATAAAGTCATATTCTTAGGGTCATTGAAGATGTAATTGGTTACATATTGGTAGTCACAGTGATATTTGGTGGGGACATAATTCAATCCATAACAGTCTGCCCTCTAAAAATTCATGTTCTTCTCACATGCAAAATACATTCATCCCATCACAACATCCCCAAAAGTCTTAATCTATACCAACATCAACTCTTAAGTCCTAAATATCATATAAATCATGTATTGATGGGATGCAGGGTAATTGATCCTGGGGCAAAATTCTTTTCCATCTGTGAACCTATGAAACTAGACATGTTTCATTCTGCCCAAAATACAATGGTGGGACAGACATAGGACAGGTATTCCCATTTCAAAAGGGAGAAACTGGAAATAAGGGGGTTATGGGTCACAGAAACCTTGTTGAAACCTAATGAGGCAAATTCCATTTGGCATTAAGGCCCCAGAATTATCCTCCCTGGCAGAATACTGTGTCCTCTGGGCTCACTGGGATGGCATCCCCACCCCCTTGGCACTGAGTGGTGGTCTTGCACTCTGGAACTGGGAAGGTGGCCCTGGCTTCTAGAATTGAGGAGGTGTCCCTGTCCTCTAGAACTGAGGAAATGGCCTCACCCTCAGGGTCATTTTTCCCTTTTCTTGAAGGATAATACTTGATCACAGCTGGATATCTCTAGCAGCTCATTTCCTGACTGTAGAATCCCAGAAATTCGATGGAATTGCATTCCTTCGTTTCTTCCCACCTGTGTTTCTTTCAGTCAGAGCTAACAGCATGCCTACTGAGAAGTTTGACTGGATCCACAAATCACAGTCTCTTGGGCAAATGGTTATCTAGCAATGCCCTTAGTGTTCTTTCCAAAGCAAGCTTTCTTATGTTTTGCAATATGGATAGGCTTAGAATTTTCCAAGTATTGAAATTCTGGTTCTTTTTTTCTTAACAATTCCCTTTTCAACTTTTCTCTCCCGTCTCATATGTTACTATAAGCAGCAAGGAGAAACCAGGCTGTGCCTTCAATACTTTGCTTAGAAATCCAGTTTCCAATAACATTCCTTATTTCTGTCTGAGACCTCACCAGAAGCACCTTTTACATTCATATATCTAGTTCTGTTCATGATGATGAGTGTATTCTCTAAGACTGCAGAAACTTTCTCTACAGCTCTTTTCTTTCTGAGCCCTCAACAGATTCTCCTTCAAAATCCATATTTCTACCAACATTCTCTTCAAGGCTATCTAGGTTTTTTCTGTTATGCACCTCAAAACTCTTCCAGCCTGCACTTAATACCCAATTCCAAGCCACTTCCATGTTTTTATGTATTTGTTACAGCAGCACACCACTTCCTGGTACCAAAATCTATTAATTTTCTAGGGCTGCTGTAACAAAGTACCAGAAACTGTTTGGCTTATACTATAGAAATTTGTCTCACAGCTTTGTAAGTCCAAAATCAAGATGTCAGTAGGGTGGATTCCTTTTGAGGGCTGTGAGGAAGAATCTGCCCCATGCCTCACCCTTAGCATCTGGTGGTTTGCTAGCCGTCTTTGGCTTTCCTTGGCTTGTGGAAACATCACTCCAATCTGTATCTGTGTCCAAATTTCCCCTTTTGATAGGGACATTAGTCATGTTGGACTCAGGGCCCACCCTAATCCAACATGACCTCATCTTAACTAATTACATCTTCAGTGACCCTATATCTAAATAAGGTCACATTCCGAGTTACTGGTGATTAGGACTTCAACATGAATTTTGAGGAGACACAGTTCAACCCATAACAGAAGCTCTCTTATCTGCCATGCTCAGCATGGACTAATTGAACATGAGTTTAAAATGGGGAATTACAAAAAACTAAACATTCTTTGCCTCTCTTTTTTTTTATTCTACGGATAAGAGAGATCATACAGTATTTATCTTTCCCAGTCTGATTTATTCCACTTAGCATAATAACCTCAGGGTCCATCCATGTTGTCACAAATGACAAGATTTCTCTTTTTTATGGCTGAGGAGTATTCCATTGTATATATCACATCTTTATCCATCCATCTGTTGATGGGCACTTAGGTTGTTTTCATATCTTGGCTACTGCAAATAATGCTGCTGAGAACATAGGGGTGCATATATCTTTCCAAGTTAGTGTTTTCGTATTCTTTGAATAAATACCCAGAAGTGAGATAGCTGGATCATATGGCAGTTCTGTTATTTTTTTGAGGAATCTCCATACTGTTTTCCATAGTGCCTGCACCAATTTACATTCTGACCAATAATGTAGGAGTGTTCCCTTTTCTCCACATCCTCACCAACACTTGTTATTTGTTGTCTTTTTGATAATAGCCATTCTGACAGGTGTGAAGGTGTGAGGTGATATCTCACTATGGTTTTCATTTGCATTTCCCTGATAATTAGTGATGTTGAACATCTTTTCATGTGCCTGTTGGCCATCTGTATGTTTTCTTTGGAAAAATGTCTATTCAGGTCCTCTGCCCATTTTGTAATCAGATTGTTTGGTTTTTTGAGGCTGAGTTGTATTAGTTTGTTTAATATATTTTGGATATTAACCCTTTATGGGATATGTGATTTGCAAATATCTTCTCTCATTTGGTAGGTTGTCTTTTCATTTTATTAATGATTTCCTTTGCTGTGCAGAAGCTTTTTAGTTTGATGTAGTCCCATTTGTGTTTATTTTTGGTTTTGTTTCCCTTCCCTGAGGAGACCTACCTAGAAAGATAATGCTAAGACCGATGTCAAAGAACATACTACCAATGTCATCTTCTAGGAGTTTTATAGTCTCAGGGCCTACATTCAATTCATTTACCCATTTTGAGTTGATTTTTGTGTATGGTGTGAGATTATGGTCCATTTTCATTTTTATGCATGTGGCTGTCCAGTTTTCCCAACACCATTTATTGAAGAGATTCCTTCCCCCACTGTATGTACTTTTGCTCCTTTGTTATAAATTAATTGTTCATTTATGTATGAGTTTATTTCTGATATCTCAATTCTATTTCATTGATTTATGTATCAGTTTTTCTGCAAATACCATGCTGTTTTGATTATTATAGCTGTGTAATATAGTTTGAAATCAGGAAGTATGATACCTCCAGCTTTGTTCTTTTTTCTCATGATTGCTTTGGTTATTTGCGGTCTGTTTTGGTTCCAAATAAATTTTAGAATTCTTTGTTCTATTTCTGTGAAAAATGCCTTTGGGATTTTGATAGGGATGGCAGTGAATCTGTAAATTGCTTTAGGTGATATGGACATTTAAAATTAGGAAATGTTCCCTCCTCTTCAATTTTTTGGAAGAGTTTGAGAAGGATAGGTATTAAATCCTCTTTGAATGTTTGGTAGAATTCACCTGTGAAGCTGTCTGGTCCTGGACTTTTGTTTTGGGGGGAGGTTTTTGATTACTGTTTCAATCACTTTACTACTAATCAGTCTATTCAGATTTTCTGTTTCTTCTTGATTCAGTCTTGGAAGGTTGTATGATTCTAAGAACTTGTCCATTTCTTCTGGGTTGTTCAATTTGTTGGCATATAACTGTTTTGTAATATTCTCTTATAAGCCTTAGTATTTCTGTGGTATCTGTTGTTATTTCTCCTCTGCCATTTTTTAAAACAAAATTATTTTTATTTATTTTGTCTGCCTTGGGTCTTCATTGCTGTGCACGGGCTTTCTCTAGTTGCAGCGAGTGGGGGCTACTCTTCATTGCAGTGCGTGGGCTTCTCGTTGCGGTGGCTTCTCTTGTTGCAGAGCATGGGCTCTAGAGCACAGGCTCAGTAGTTGTGGTGTGCGGGCTTAGTTGCTCCGCGGCATGTGGGACCCTCCCGGACCGGGGCATGAACCCATGTCCCCTGCATCAGCAGGCAGACTCTCAACCACTGCTCCACCAGGGAAGCCCTTAGTACCACTTTTGCTGCATCCCTTAGATTTTGCTTTGTTGAATTCTCATTTGGATTTGTTGTCAGGTATTTTTTGATTTCTTCTTTGATTTCATCACTGACCCAATAGTTGTTCATTAGCATGTTGTTCAGTGTCCACACATTTGCGATTTTTTTTTAGCTTTCTTCTTGTAGTTGGTTTCTAGTTTCATACTATTTTGATCAGAAAAGGTACTTTCGAAAATATATAATTTCAAATCTTTTAAAATTTGTTGAGAGTTGTTTTGGGTTCCAATATATGGTCTGTCCTTGAGAAAGTTTCCCATGCACTTGAGAAAAATGTGTTTTCTGCAGCATTTGGATGGAATGTTCTATACAAATCTATCAAATCCATCTGGTCTGATATTTCAGTTAAGGCTACTGTTTCCTTGTTGACTTTCTGTCTGAATGATCTACCCATTGACGTTAAGTGGGATGTTAAAGTTCCCTACTATTATTGTGTTGTTGTCAATTTCTCCTTTTAAATCTGTTGATAATTGCTTTCTGTATTTTGGTGGTCCTAATGTTAGGTGCATATATATTAATCACTGTTATGTCTTCTTGATGAATTGTCCACTTTATCATTATATACTGTCCATTGTCTATTGTTACCTTTTTTGCCTTGAAGCCTATTTTGTCTGATGTGAGTGTGGCTATACCTGCTTTCTTTTGGCTGCAATTTGCTTGAAGCATCATCTTCCATTCCT